TCTTTGAGATAGTGATTTCATTTCCTTTGGATAACACCCAGAAGTGGAATTTCTGGATCATATGGTAGTTCTATTTTTAGTTTTTTGAGGAGCCTCCATACTATTTTTCATAGTGGCTGCAGCAGTTTGCATTCCCACCAACAGTGCACAAGGGTTCCATTTTCTCCACATCCTCACCAACACTTATTTCTTGTCTTTTTGATAATAGCCATTCTAACAGATCTGAGATGTTGTCTCATTGTGGTTTTGATTTGAATTTCTGTGATAATTAGTGATGTTGAGCATCTTTTCATGTACCTGTTGGCTATTTGGATATCTTCTTTAGAAAAATATCTATTCAGGTCCTTTGCACGTTTTTTAATTAGATTATTTCTTTTTTTGCTATTGAGTTGTTGAGTTCCTTATATATTTTGCATATTAATCCCTTATCAGATAGATGGTTTGTGAATATTTTCTCCCATTCATAGACTTTTTCACTTTGTTTATTGTTCCCTTGGCTGTGCAGAAGCTTTTCAGTTTTATGCTGTCTACTTGTTTATTTTTGCTTTTGTTGTTTGTGCTTTTGGCATCCTATTCAAAAAATCATCTCCAAGACTGATGTCAAGGAGCTTACCACCTATGTTTTTTTCTAGGAGTTTTATGGTTTGAGGTCTTAAATTTAAGTCTTTAATACATTTCAAGTTAATTGTGAGTGGTATAAGATAGGGATCCAGTTTCATTCTTTGGCTCGTAAAGATACAGTTTTCCCATTACTGTTAATTGAAGAGACTACCCTTTCCCCACTGAGTATTCTTGGCTTCCTTGTCAAATATTAGTTGGCTGTATATGGGTGGATTTTCTGGTTTATTTCTCTTAATTCTGTTCCCTTAGTCTATGTGTCTGTTTTTATGCCAATACCATACCATTTAGATTACTATAGCTTTGAAATAAAGTTTAAAATCAGGAAGTGTGATGCCTCCAGCTTTGTTCTTCTTTCTCAGGATTGCTTTGGCTATTCAGGGTCTGTTATAGTTCCATAAGAATTTTAGGGTTGTTTTTCTGTTTCCCTGAAAAATGCCATTGGAATTTTGATAGAAATTGCATTGACTCTATAAATGGCTTTGGGTAGTATGGCCATTTTAATAACATTAATTTTTCTGATCTATAAACACAGGATGTCATGCCATTTATTTGTGTCTTCAGTTTCTTTCATCAATGTCTTGTAATTTTCAGTGTACAGATCTTTTACCTCCTTAGTTAAATTTATTCCTAAGTATTTTGTTATTTTTGATGCTATGGTAAATGGGATTGTTTTCTTTATTTCTTTTTCAAAGAATTCATTGTTAATGTATAGAAATGCAACTGGTTTTTGTATGTTAATTTTGTAACCTGCAACTTTACTGAATTCATTTATTAGTTCTAACAATTTTTTTTTAAACATTTTTTTGGAGTCTATAGGATTTTCTGTATATATAGGATCATATCATCTACAAACACAGACACTTTAGCTTTCCTTTCCAATTTGGATGCCTTTTATTTCTTTTTCTTGCCTAATTGCTCTGGCTAGGAATTCTAGCACTATGTTGCATAGGACTAGTGAGAGTGGGCACCCTTGTCTTGTTCCTGATCTTAGTGGGAAAGCTTTCAACCTTTCACCATTGAGTTTGATGTTAGCTGTGGTTTTGTCATGTATGGCCTTTATTATGTTGAAGTAGTTTACTTCTCTTTTGGCTTTTTAGCTATGCCTCTTTGTATTGTTTTTTGCTGGTTGCTCTTGGCATTACAATATGCATTCTTACTATAATCTACTTAGAATTAACGTTTGATCACTTTAGATTTTATTCTTTGCCTCTGATTTTCCCACTTCATAAATGAAAAAAAAAAGTCACAACAGTTTAATTCCATTTAAACATCCTACCCCTGTCTTTAAGCTACTTTTTTTTATATCTTTTAATTCTTCATAACTTATAAATTATAAATCCCATCATAGTGTTATTATTTTTACTTCAAACAGTATTTTTTTAAGGATAAGAAAAGAAAAATATGTAGTCTTTTATATTTACCCACATATTTACCATTTCTGATACTCATTATTCTCTTCCTGTAGATCTTACTTTTCATCTTGTATTATTTCCCTTCAACTTGAAGGATGTCCTTTAGTATTTCTTGTAATACAAGTATGTTGGTGACTGATTCTCTCAGCTTTCATTCATCTGAAAATGTCTTTATTGCATCTCAATTTTAGAAGAATATTTTCTTGGATCTAAAACATATTCTCTAGGATTTCAGTCCTTTAAAATGTTTTAAGAGTCTAGTTCCAAGGCCTGACCAGAGAGAAGGCAGATGGGACACTTGCCATGGTCAGGGATTGGGGCAAGAACTTTGAGGAGCTAAGACTGCTGATTTCTAGGGAAGGTGAGGGTTGACAGGGACCAACAAGGGCCGACAAAACTGGATTAACAGGACCAACGAGGGTTGATGTTGGCCAACATGATCTGACTTGCGTCACAGCTTTTGAATTGCATTGATTCTACAGCTGGAAAGAACCTTAAAGCTTCTGTCACTTTTCAGAGGAGAAAACTGAAGCTTGGAAAGGAAGTTTCTCAGAATCACACAGTTGCATAATGCCAGAATCCAGGCTCTGAAATCATATCTTCTTTCTCCAAGCCTAGGACTCTTCCCTTCCGCCTCACCTGCCTCTCCTTGGAGGTGAGACACCAGAGTGCTGACGGATCTGGGCGGCACATTCTTGAGAGCTCATGCATGTCCCTAGCAAGGCCTGGAGCAGCTTTCAGGGCAAAGGTTGTTCCAAGTTCTGGAGGAAATTTTTCATGCTGCATTTTCTGGGTTAAACCCCTGTGGGCAATGACCTTATAGCATGGTCAACCCTTGGAAAACAAATGGCAAAGAGCATTCTCAAGTATTAGATGCTGATAACCACCCCCAACTGAGGACATCCAGATAACAGACACACAAGGTGTTGGACCACAAGAACTTGGGCACTTAATATTAACCACATTTTCCAATCTATTGCCTTCCCTTGTTGCCTTTTAGCTTTAATTTCCAACCTTTTCTAGGCCACAAGCCACAAGACCAAGAGTCTAACTATAGGTGATGCTGGGATTTCGTGTTTTGAATTCCATCCTGTATGTTTCTTTCTTTCTTCACGTGTTGGTATATATATTAAAGATGCTTATTTACAATGATTTATTTACCCAGAACTTTAGAGAAACTGTCTAAACATTATCATAAAATAATATGATCATCATAAAACAATATAGTGCACATCAGCCATGCCCCTCCCTTCCCCCGACACATCACAGCACTGGCCCAGGAGCCTTGGGACCCTCTGGGGATCTGTGGACACTCTAATTCAGAGTGGGTTAGTTAAGGGCTGCCCTCCTCAACAGCTGGATAAGGCACTCAGCGAGCCATGTTTTGGGATGTACACCCAGCTAGCAGCAGAGGAAATGACCCTTTTATATTCATCTTTAAAATTTGGAGTCCTTAACCTCTCCCCAGGTGAGCCCAGGGGCCACCTCCCAAGGCAAATCATGTGGAATTGCACTATTATGCCGTCCACAGTCCAGAACCCCGGAACTGCTTGGAACTGACACAGCACATCCGGCTGTGTCTGCTGCCTCCTTGGACCCTCACTACAGGAGGAAATTCTTCTTTGAGTGTGTGATCACTGCTAGGGCACCGGTTCCAGCACCTTTTCCCTTTCTTTTCTCCTTCCTTCCTCCCCCCCCCCCTTTCTTCCTTTCTCCCTTTCTCTCTTTCCTTCTTCCTTCCTTCTTTCATTTAGAATAAGAATAATATCCCACAACTCAAAGAAATAATAATGACATTGTGTTTTCAAACTAACAAACTTTAATAATAAGCTAACAAACTTTAAGAATAAAGCAAGGGCAGAGGGCAGAGGTGGGAGAGGCATTTTAGAATTGATCAAGATCAGGGTGGCTGGTGTCTGACTGCCCCTTCTGTCCCTGCAAAGCTTTGCCCTAAGCCTTGCAAGTTTCACCAGGATCCAAGCAGCATTATCATGCTAATAATAGCTAGCCTTCGTTAAGCACTTGCTATGGGCCATGGACATTGTATAAGCCTTTACATTTAATTTTCTGCCAAATGAAAGACTCACCCTAGAGACCCTGGGAGTCTGGACTGAATGCTTTGTCTCCTCGTCTGCCTAGGCCTTGCTGCACTGATTCACCTCTGCTCCACCTTCGATTCCCTCCTCTGCCTTATCGTTGTCATGAAGCCTGCATGGTTATTTCCAGCTCTGCTTTTCCATCTCAAAGTCTCATCTTCCAGCTCTCTATTTCATTGCTGCCTTGGGGCAATGCTACCTCAGACCAATCTGCCAGTAATGACCCTTTGTTGTCCAACTCGGGAACTTTCTCTCTGGCTCTACAACTCTGCTGAGAACCACGTCCTCCTACAGATGGGTTTGGATGCCAGCAATTTGAAAAATAAAACAATAAGCATTGTATATAAATGCATATGAAAAAAATAAGTGGCTGAGACATAGATAAATAATTTGTTTTTAAGTGTTGTGGTGGTGGAGGCACTGCTGAGAAGTTCAAATATGCCCACCTCATTTGACTGTCTCTTGTTTATATACCGAGTTACGAGGTTTGCGATACTAAATTGTAAGTGAAAAAGTCAGAGAGTTTAAATCAGGCAAAGACATGGGATCACAGCAAATTAAAAGATTGCCCTTTTGCTTGGCTCCTCCTTTTGGTTAGCCCAACTGCGAAGTCAGTGTAGACTTCTGTCATCTTCTAAAATTCCACCTCTCTGTGGGTGCTTGTATTTCTGGAACATTCACTCAAAATAATAAGGTTGCACTCTCTCCCCTGGTGTTAATTCTGGGTTGTTTGGGAACCCAGCTTCTCCGAAGGATTCAGTCTCTGGACTTTCTAGTAAAGGGAAGGGCGAGCATAGATGTTTTTAAAAGGGGGTGCTGTACCTTTAAATTCTGAAAGTGAAGTTGGCTCAGGAAGGCCAGCAGTCAAGGTCCAGCCCCTAGAAGAGAGAATAGCTACAGATTCTCCATCCTCGGTCTTTGCAAGGGGACGGCTGTGCCAGCCAGGCTCGGGCAGGCTCCTGGCAGCATGGCAGTGAAGCTCAGGGCCCTCCTGCTGGTCCTCGCGCTCAGCCTGGCACAGCCAGCCTCAGCCCACCGGAAGCTCCTGGTGTTTCTGCTGGATGGTTTTCGCTCGGACTACATCAGTGATGAGGCCCTGGAGTCCTTGCCTGGTTTCAAAGAGATTGTGAGCAGGGGAGTAAAAGTGGATTACTTGACCCCAGACTTTCCCAGTCTCTCTTATCCCAATTACTACACCCTAATGACTGGTGAGTACCCTGTCCTCTTGTAGGTGGGGAGGGGTGGGCTGGAGTCCAACAGGGAACAGTTAGCTCCTGGCATCGAGTCTCATTTAAATGTTCAGGTTTCCCTAGTCCTTTGGGACACCAAAGATAGACAAGAAGTCTGTGTTCTTGGCTGAATTTTTTTTTTTCACAGTTGTGTTGTTCTCCAAAAGTTATCCCAAGGACCTGTTTTGGATTCTCAGTGTGGAGAACAGAAAACTACATGAACAGATGATTTAAAGAGTGATTATTTGTTTTACAAATAAAAATTGTAGCTAACTCCACATTTTCTAAATTCAAGTTTAAAAAGTCAACAGGTCTTCATGTGTCCATACCAAATTCCTTCTGTCCCTTTGCTCTGCAGTCATCTGTAATCCTGGAGGCGTTTTGGCTTGTTTATCAATGTGCTAGACTATGAGAGTTACACATGGGGTTCCTGGATTACTTGGAGGGAGTTTCTAGGTCATATCCTGAAGTATTATTACTTAGCAATGCCGCTTGTGTCTTCTTTTGCTTTTTTGGGCCAGCTAAAATGACATGGAGAAGAAAAATATTGTTGTATAATTCAGATTTCCATTTTTAACTTGTAGCATCTGTTAAAAAAACAAACAAACAAACAAAACAAAGCCCCAGCTAACCCAGACTGTGCCTGGGTTTGAGAAAGCTGATTTTTGCCTAAAGATGACCTTCATCTGGGATTGCCAGAAGGCCAAAGGTGACGCCGTGAACTTGATCCCCCATATCTGTGCAATAGAACGTACTTTCTGCTCTCGCAGTTGGATTCCCAGCTTCGTTTGTTTTTCAGTTAACCTTTGTAAGGGCCAGCAAGAGGCTCTCAGAAAGAATTTAGCAAACTATCCAGGGAGGCTGTTAAGAATGCGCTGTTATTGCTGCTTATGCAGGACTTAGCTATGTGCTCTGAGCACAGGGAAAACTATAAATTACGTTAACAGAAAGGGGATGAGAACTCTCATATGTCATTATGGATCTCCATAGAACAGCAAACCAAAGGAGTCTGGAAAGACAAATTGATATCTCTGACTTCGTGCATGGGTACTGCATGCATGTGCACGTGAAAACACCATACAGTTAAAGGGGAAGTACACTTTGGAGATTAGAAATGAAGGCACGGAGAGAAAAAAATCCAATCCAGATTGCATACAAGCAAGGAATTCATTTGCTGATTTTTTTTATTTCCTCCGACAGACAGCCAGCGTCTCTAAGATAAAGAGGATGAGCAAAAGTCCTCTGGTCCTCTCTTAGCACACTTCTCCCCTTGCAGGGAAGCAGTTTGCAGGCTGCTGGGTCACACTAGCTGTTATTGTGTGTCACAGCCCGACTTCAGTTCTGTCCAGGGAGCTCCACACACGCAGACCACCCCCACTCCGGTTGTCTCTCACAGCCCTGCTGGGAGACCCAATTCATAAACTGCCACGTGCAGTTTTCTCAATCTCAGTGGAAAATGAACAAAATCCATTTTAGAAAGTCAGACTCCAGTGAGTAAAAGGGACCATTACAATCTCCACAGAGAAACCAAGCCAGTGACATGGCCCTTTGTCTGTCAGATGCACATTCCTGATATTGGCACAGGGAATAATTGACACAAAGCCTCAGTCATGCAGAGACACACCTTCTTTTCAGGCCATGGGTGTCTTCACTTGTCTGGTCAGGACAGAAGAGCCCTTTCCACGTGGGACAGTGTAGTTCCCATGAGAGTTTGACAAAGATCTCACCTTCACTTTCAAACTGAGTCTAGCCCGAGGAAGAAAAATAAAGAAAAATGTTAATTTTTAGATGTTAAATGTATTATCTGATTTGGAAGCCTGCTCAATACTTAAATTGTCCTTTCCACTTTTATAGAAGGAATATTGTACACAGGATGTGTCTAGCAAGGCTCATGTTCATGTGCACAGGTTTTTTGGTCTGATTTGTCTTGGACCTCCTGAGTGAACAAAAGGGCTTGGCCCAGGCTTGCAGGCTGGGAGATGCCAGGCCATGAGGCTGGTATTGTTTCCCCTGCCCTGGGACTGGCTTGGGGCTAAATGTAGACTATTTCTCCCAATATCCATGTTTATTTTTTCACCTGATTTTGAAAAATTCCTCTTTTTTCGTATAAGGAAGGATCTGTTGGGAATTGTACTTAAACATATGGTTTGAGCATTTGAGTATTTTATGAACCAACATAAGAATCATGCTAGATCCTTTAGGTACTAAAAGATATGGTGTTTTAGGGATCTTCCCAATTCATGAGAGACTATGATCTCACTTCATTACGTGAATTATTGCCCATAAGACATAAAGCCCTTGGTGTTATTCTCTTTGTATAATGAGAATAATCTTTCCAATGATGGCTTATTGGAAAGAACCCTGGCCTTGGAGGTGGAAGATCATGATTGGAGTGCTCGCAGGGGCAGGATGATGCTGGACCACTTCGGGCAAGTCATAGTACAGCTTTCAGCCTCAGTTTCCTCAGCTTTGGGTCCTAATCAGGCCGGGGTCTCAGGTGATGCCAGATGCAGGCATGAAAATAAGCAATGCATAGGGAATTAGAAAAAACTAGGACTGGCACCTCTTGGGAGACCCCCATGTAAGATATTAAGCAAATGACTGAAACTCTCTAAAAAGGAAAATTTCTTGGGATGCCAGTGTGGTTGGTGATGGGAAATGAACAATCACAGGATTTGTAAGAAACCTTGGAAATCATCTAGCCCACTGACATGAAGCCACTGTGGCTGATTTTTTTTCTCCTTCAAAATATATTTGCATCGGGACAAATGTGAACAAAATTCAGTAGTGATCAAGAAGATCCATCAAGCAGTTGATTGCTGGGGACACATAGAATCTTAAAACAGGGCCTTTCACCCACGGAGCCTGCATTCAAGTTGAGAAGGAGAAGCGTATCAGGTCCCTACTGATGTTCTGCAGGGAATGACAAGGCTGAATTGCATCCCTCCAAAATTAGTGTGTTGAAGTCCCAACCAAGTACTTCAGAATGTAACTGTATTTGAAGATATGGTCTTTAAAGAGGTGATTAAGTTAAAATGAGGCCCTTAGAGTGGGGCCCTAATGCAATATGACTGATGTCCTTTTAAGAAGAGGAAGAGACACCAGGGAAAAGTGTGCACAGAGAAAAGGCCATGTGAGGACACAGCAAGAAAGCTGCCATTTATAAGCCAAGGAGAGAGGTCTCACCAGAGACCAAGTCAGCCAACATCATGATCTTGAATTTCCAGCCTCCAGCACTGTGAGAAATAAATTTCTGTTGTTTGGCCACCCAGTCTGTGGTACTTTATGGCAGCCCTGGCAAACTGAGATACAAAGGACTAATGGGTAGTTTCCTAATATGCTACAGAAGACCAGAAAAGAGGAGAATTTTCTTCCTGTTGGAGCAGTGTGTGAAAGCATTTTGAAGGAGGTGGGCTCTGAGCTGGAATAAACAGCCATGAGCATAGCATATATTGTTACATCTTACTTTATGCGGAAGCTCTCTTTCTGAAGAGCTATGTGTGAATCAACTTCATTTTAGTTGAAACACAACCAGTGTAACTGCTATTAGGATGCTTTCTGTTTCAGTCTCTCTCACTGTGGATCTTTTTGTCAAGTTACTGTAAAGACTTATTGTAAAGTAGCTCTTGGAGGTAAATCCATGTTTGATTTAAGTAAAGTTTAACATAAAATCCATGGAAGAATTTGGATTTGTTCAATCCAGATCATGGGTGAGAGAAAATGCACGGTATATTTTGAGGCAGCCTAACTTAGCATCATTTTCCCAAGGCCAATGGCAAGGTTTGTTTGTAATTCCTGAACACTTCTGATTAAGCATTGGGGGGAAGTGGGCCAGAAATGTCCCCAGTAGCAGGGAAGCCAGTCTAGAATTTAATCTTTACTGAACGTAATCTACCAAGAGGCGAGCATATGCTGAAATGCGTTTGCTATACAGTATGTTAGTATCATTTCCACATTTAGAAACTAGTAAATAAAGTGCAGGGAGGTTGGGTGCTTCACTCCAGACACTGAAGAATGTTAGCAGCAGGCTGAGATTGGAGGGTGGGTGTCAGAGGCCCAGGTCTCACACAGCAATTCGCAGGGCCCTGACCCCAGTCCTGGAGCACCCAGACCCAGGGCTAGAGGTCTCCCCAAGACCGGTCCTGGAGGCAGTGAGAGCCTAAATAAAGGTGCTTTGTTAATCCTCTACCGGAATCAAAGCAAAACCAAGGATGGCCACTGCTTAGAATTAATATTTGTGCCAACGTATTTCCTATTGTACTCCTAGGAATTACATGTGAAACAAATTCATCCCAGATATCAAGAATCTGACATTCTGGAGTAAGAGATTGCAGTGTGAGGTATACTTTCCCTTGTTTTTAAGAAAATAGCTGATTTAAATTAAAACCGGCTGTCACTTGGACCAAAGGAAATCAGTGTAGAAAGCACTTGAGAAATCATGTTTTGAAAAAGCCCACATCCTCAGCCTTCTGGAGAATTCTGGTTTCACTTGGGGGGCTGCCCACGGACCTCTGCACGCCCTCAGCACAAGCAACATGGACACGGTCTCCAGGGCGCCCTCCCCTCCCCTTCCCCCAAGATCACCTTGGCATGGAGACCTTCACCCCCGTGTGTTAGCTTCCTTAGTTCTAGAGACTTCCTCAGATATGTTATGTTTGGGGGCCCTCGACTTCTCCCCCTATTCTCTCTGGTATGAAACCCATTCGTGCTTTTGTTTTCCCCAGTGACCTCCTGAGGGTCGAGGGTCAAGGGTCAGTCCTCAGGCTTTGACTTCTGTGCCCAGGAACAGCGTTTGGCACAGCCCTGCTCCTCCTTCCTCGCAGCTCACTCGGGTTCCAGTACTCCGGCTTCTCTGGTTTCTTCTTATTTCACTGACTACTTCTTGGCCCCTTCTGTTGGTTCCTCCTTGTCTTTCTCACCTCCCTTCTCACAGCCCAAGTTAGCTGTATTTTCAAGATGGATTGGGAGCCTCTACTTCT